GAAAAGCATAATACAGGTACAAGACAATCAAATAATTTTTATCTGCCTACAGTAAATTTTACAGTTTACCAAAAGGGAGTGTACTGTATGGGTATTAGGGTATTTAACAATCTTCCTCCACATATTAAAGATATATCTCATAATCCAAGGAAATTTGAAGCCTGTCTAAAACATTTTCTTTATACACATTATTTTTATTCCATTGATGAATATCTTCAATTTAACGCTGTTGCAAGTCAATGACATACCAAAGAATTTATAGTTTAATAAATTATGTTTATTGTCACCAAGTTTTAAAACTGTTAGTAATAGAACTTTTTATATTTCTGTCATCATTTTATTTTATTCTATTTTTTGGCTTATTTATCTTTTATATATGTACCACTTGATGTGTTCCATATCCTACCTGTTGTACTGTGAATCTATGGAATGTAAAATAAATGAATGAATGAAATTAGTAGTCATAGCTGTTAAGCTTCTAATTGATGGGTCAGCCATAAGAAAGATTGTTGATAAAAAAATCATTTAATGAAATAGAAAAGTTCATAGTTTATCATCAATCGTAAGGTTGAAATTCAGGATGACTGCCTTTACACATAACCTAGGTCTCCTTGAGTCCTCCTACCTGACATTGGCCCATGTGAATGTGAGCAAGGCCTTCTTGCACACAACATAAGCCTCTTTGCACGTGTTATAGTTTTGTTATTCATTTGTCAGATAGAAATGGTGGTGCTTTTCAACTGTTCATGAAGTCAGTGGTAGAGAATTGCTTTTCTGCTTAACAGCCTCCTGAAGACTTTGAGCCACTCTTTATATTGCTCTTGTGTGTACAGGCTCCAAGTGTAAGCATCTGCCCAGAAGCTCGATTTGTGATGCTGCGGTACTTAACGCATGTAGAAGTGTGGCAGCTTGGCAGTACAGCACCCATTACAAATGGAGATGCAGTTCATGAAGGCATTTTGCCTCTGATTGCAGATCCACTTCGATTACTCACTCTCAAATCACGAGGGGGTGATGTCATTGTCTGTGCAGATATGAGCAGTAATGGAAAGTGGATAGCCTATTCTAGTCTTAGGACAACAAGCTTTTTCAGGTTCCACTGTGTAAGTTTGCATATTAGTGTTGGTTACATTCAGGCACGTGCAAAGTATTCGTTTCTGTTTCTGTAGATAGAAATAGCCAGATATCCATGTTGTCATGTTTGTCATTGACGCCAAACATTGGTTAATTCTCATATATAAATGGCCAATGGATGCTTTTCCATTGTTATGCATGTTAGCAGTCAGAGTTGAAGTAATAGTCATGAACAGGGGTAGAAGATGGCAGCAAGAAGCAGTGATGGAAGGTTTGTTTGAGTCAGGATTGCAACAGCCTTCTTTCCCAAAGAGAAAGGCCATAGTGTACCTCTAGATATCAGTACTGCTAACCAATAGCAAACAGATGAAGACGGATTGAAACAAACTAAACTATAGGCCAAAATACATACTTTGTGTGTTTGTTTGCTATCTGCCTGTATTCTTCTTGTACATCTGTTGAGTTTAGTACTTTCTGGTAAATATAATTGTGTTTACAGAACTTGTCAGGTTGTTGGATTAGACATTTTTGACAAAGGTTGCTTTAATGGGCAAAAACAGTGTTTCATATGCACATAAGTTGTTTCTTGATAGATTTTATGCTTTGTATGCAGTAATGATGGTGATGATAACAACAATTTTCTGTTGGAAATTTCAGTAGTATTTACATCACTGAGGAATGCTGATCAGTGTACTCGTTCAGCTTATTTTTGGACTAATGTATTATTATATTCTGTAAGTTATGACTTAAATGTAAGATTTGGCGAGCGGAGTTTGTGGAATGAAAATCATTGTAATGTGTTCATTCTGTCCTATATGAAAAGCTAGGTTAATGTGAATGTATTATGCAGTTTTCATTTCAATTCTGTGAATAGGGCAGCAAACCTAGCCTGCAGAAAGTTCCTGATCTGTGTGAAATCGGTTCAGCTCATAGGATCACATTCACTGCAGACAGTTGTCGAGCCATAGTTTCCACTAGTACTGGAGATATAGCTGTGGTACAGTTAGGAGGAGATGAGCTGCTGTTGTTGCATGTTTTTCATCCACTTGATGACAGGTGTAAGTATTGGAAGTGAAACTTAACCCTTTAGAGCATAGTGGTTATACCATGACCCTAAACCCTACATTTTGCCCACATGGTGTATTTGTATGTTTATACCGTTCTCACAATAGACTCTTTCCCTAAATAGTTTTAACTAATTGATCCTGTAATGAAGATACACTTGTTCAGAATAAGTTCATGCTTCAGACGGTTGAAGGCTTAGTATAGTTAACTCAGAATGCAACAGTATGCTCCAGTTGGGAATGCACAAAGATCTTATATTTGTTCTTATTGTTTTACCAATAATTTATAAATAACCTTCTTACAAACATTTAATGTTGAAGGAAATTTGAGCCAGAGCATTTTAGTATCTACTCAGAAATTTGTTGAAAACAGTAAGAAATTTTAATATTGTATTTAAGCATCCTGTTGGCCGCGCCATAGCTCAAGCGGTTAGTCGCTGGCTTCCCACTGCGGTGGCCCGGGTTCGATCCCTGGTCTGGTCAAGTGGGGTTTGTGGTGGACAAAGTGGCCCTGGGGAAGGTTTTCTTCAAGTACTTCTGTTTCCCCTGCCAATCATCATTCCACAGATTGCTCCACAATCACCCTCACCCATCATCTGGGGCTTGTGCAATAGGCCAGAAGTGGCCACAGTACAAGGGACTTAGTCCCACCCCTCTACCAATAAAAAATAAATAAGCATCCTGTTGCATTAATATATCATTTATTTCATATAATAGATTTCCCTCTCCAGTGCAACTTATTATTAGTCACCCTTCTTCCTGAAAATATCTACATACACAGCCTGATTAACAACACAACTACACAGGCAGGTTGAAGAAGCTACAGACAAACAGGCATACATAACAGGACTGATAACACTGCACCAGCATCCTTAAGAACTGCACAGTAACACACATAACACCCACGCCACAGGAATTGCTGCACAAATGAATCCAAAACAGGAGACCCCAAACAAATATCGTTTGGACGAATGGACAGTGACAACAAGAATAACATTGGACTATTAATTATTTTTAACTAGTTTTAATTAATTTTAATTAAGGTCAATCTATTTTAATTAAGAAATACTGCATTCACGCATGATATGAGATTTTCACATACCATAGAGTGCTACAATTTTAGTGAAATAGAAGACACCTGATGTTGGCCATATACGGCTGAAACAGGCTGTGAAGAAGAAGGGTAAGCAATAATAAGTTGCTTTGGAGGCAGAAATATATTATATGAAATAAAAAAAATTGTAAAATATTTCAGGTAAAATAATTGTTACGAGTATCTTAGTGCTACAGCTGTAATTTTGAAACCTTTTTTTAATATCTGTGTTGTAAGTTTATGTATCATTTTGTGAACTAGAACAAACCAAAATAACAAGTTGCCCAACAACTTGTAATGTGGAGGTCTTACACTGAATTTGGTACAAAAGCTAGGATGCAGTATCAGAGATGAAACACTTGCAGCAGTATGATCTTTGTATTACAATGAAACCCAGATAAGATGTTCTATAATGTGTGAAACCTGTGGTTGTTCTGTTCGATTTATTACAGTGCTAAAGGATGCAGTCCACCTGTTAACTGTCTCTCATGATGGCCAGTTCATCGTAGCAGGTGATCACTGCAGCAATATTGTTGCATGGACCACAAGTGATTACAAGGTAGTGGCTTTATTTTCATAACAAAATATTTGATGCTTTAGTTTGCATTCACTTCAGAGATTATATACCATAGTGAGTCAGAAGAAGTTAATATTTAAAGATGTAATGGAATTGTAAGATAACGTTACGGTAAATTCACTTTTTGATACATATACAAATGTATCGGTCAGGCATACTTCTGGATCCCAGGTCACTCTTAAAATTTTCATAATACAGCCTAGAATTTTCTTTCTATTACAGTGTTTCCCAGATACAAAGATTCCTGCATTAGAAGTTAGATTTTTGAAGTCCTGCTGAAATTCCCATAATGATAATGTTAAATTTTTCGCAAGTTAGAAGTTCATTTCTTCTGATTTTTATACAGAAGTCTCTGATTTAATACATTTAAAGTAATGCTAAAGAATTTTACGCAGTACATATTTGAACATAATGTATTTAAAAGGCTTTACAACCATTAATTTCTCGTAGTCAAACCATACTACAGATGAAAATTGACTGGGGAGTGCTTCGTAATGTGTTCTCAGCCTATTGACTGTTCATTATTGGTTCCACTGTTTTCATTATTCATCTTTTGCTTGCTGAAGCGTGCCATGGAAACATATGTTGCTGCTCATTCAGTGTACAGCATTCATGTTTCATTGTCCATTGAACTTAGTGTTATATGTTTTATGCATGCTCTGTAAGTTTAATAACCAACCAACCACTGTCAAGACACTCAGCTACTCAAGAATTCTCCAACATTTGATGGAACCTGAAGGCTCCTTACCATGTTCACAAGAGCCCTCTACTGGCCCCTATCCTGAGCCAGATGAATCCAGTCCATACCACCCCATCCTGATATCTAGGTCTTCCTGGTGGTCTGTCATTTTGGCTTTCCCATCAATATCCTATATGCATTCCTCTTCTCTACCCATGCACATCCCGTCCTTGACTTGATCATTTTTATTATGTTTGGCAAAGAGTACAAGTTTTGAAGCTCGTCACTGTGCAGTTTTCTCCAGCCTCATATTATTTTTGCCTTCTTCCATTCTGAAATTCTCAGCACCCTTTTCCTAAACACCATCAGTCTCTGTTCCTCCCTTAATGTCAGGGACCAAGTTTAACCCAAAACTACAGTAAAACTATGGTTTTGTATGTTTTAATGACTACATTTTTTAAGGGCAAATGAGAAGAAAAGATTCTGAACTGAATTGTAGCAAGCATTACCCTAATTCATTCTACTCTTAATTTCCCCATGAATCAAATTTTGATTTATTGCTGTCATTCCCTGGTATTTGAAACAGTTATTGATTTCTTGGACATTCTCCATGATCCTGTTTGTTTATTTAAAACTACATTTTGGAGACTGGACTCTCTGTCCATCCTCAGGTGAAAGGTCTACTTATTTGGGTCCAATCAATAGAGTCTATCTCTGTGGACACTAGCAGCAAGGAAAGGTTGGATATATAAATAAAGCACAACATAAACCATCCACAGGCATTAAGACAAAAAAGTTAAAATGCCACATGTAAGAGGCCTAGCACCTGTTACTGTGCATAGTGTATCAGCCGCATTCAGTGGAATTCATTTGGCCTCTGCAATGCTCCAGCAACATTTTAACAGCTAATGGAAACCACCTTAAGGGGCGTCACATATGAGTCACGCCAAGTTACCTAACAACATGATTGTGATTGGCCACATGTCCTGGGAACACCTGGACAACCTACAGAAAGTGTTAAAAAAAATTCTGCCACTAACAGACTCAACCTTCTTAACTGCTGATAGAATTCTCTGTATGTACAAATAATTATGTTCTTAATTCATGATTTTCATCTGCACTTCCATAGGAAAACGTGTAGTTATCTGCTTGTTCAGTCCCACCCTTGTCCAATCTGACCTCCTGTACACCCAGTAAGTCCAACTTTCACTTTCTTATTTCATTTGCAACTATTATTAGTGAACTTGCCCTGTATAGGTTTTCTTTCCATGTGGCAAATCTCATGTCCATTTTCGTTAGCCTAGCCCTTTGCAACATTTCAGAACAAAGTGTTTTCTTTTACCGTGAGGAGGAGTTACCTCCATGCCCAATACTTTATGGAACCAAGTGACTATTTCGATGCCCACATGTACAAAATCCTGCACTTCATTTGAAGCGCAGGATTGCTGAGGGGATAATCAAAAGTGGAAGCACAGTAGATCACTGTAGGTCACGGTACAAGGGCCAAGAAGGCCCACCCCCATTTTTTTTAATTCGCTTAGTGAGGGGGTGGAGTCCAACTGGGTCCACTCAGTACAGCAGCCACTGATGGCTCCCTGTTACTGCTTATTCAGTACATTCACAGCTACTGTCCATATCTGGTGGTCATCTCCTCCATCCACAACCTGAGCACACACCATACTTTGCTGACCACGGGAACCAGAAACTGTTGATATTACTTGAATTTTGGTTTAAAGTGATTTAAAAGAATATGGTGATGGTTCCAATTAACCTTTAACATACGGACTTTTAAATTACCAGGATCCCTGTACGGCCAGAATTTAAATCACCCTAATTAATTATCACTGCAGACTTTCAGAAAAAAATGCATATTTTCCGTTCTATGCAACATAGAAATATGAACTAAAAAGAACCTGAATAACAATAACATTTTCTACATATACGTAAAAGAGCAAGTTTTACAAATGAAAATTAACTGTGAATATTTTGTCATGAAATGCAAAATATAAACTTTATTATATATGTTATGACATTCCAAAGGACTTACCCATGGTTTTTTCTTCAACCTTGAATCATGGTGATATTGTAAATATGATCACACTATATACTATCTGCTGTATACACGATGCAATGTTCCAGGCAGAAAAGAAATTTTGCTCTGTCTTAATCTGCATGTTTTATGTTCCAGCATCATTGTTCTCTGCCCAGATACAGCTGTGCACCAACTGCATTCGCTGTCCAGCCTCACACCAATATTCTTGTTGTCGTTTACAGCGACCATAAGGTGTGTAGTACTTATTTTCTTTATTGCTAGTGGGGTGGGACTAAGTCCCTTGTACTGCAGCCACTTGTGGCCTATTGTACCAGCCCCAGATGATAAGTGAGGGTGATTGTGGAGCAATTGGTGGAATGAAGATTGGCAAGGGAAACCGAAGTACTCGGAGAAAACCTGCCCCAGCGCCACTTTGTCCACCACAAATCCCACTTGACCAGACCCCTGGATCGAACCCGGGCCACTGTGGTGGGAAGCCAGCAACTAACCACTTGAGCTATGGTGCGGCCTTTGTAGTACTTCATAGTTGTTCATAACAAATTTAGGCACGTTCAAACCACCGTGGAATATAAGCTGAAGATGAAGAATCTTGTTAAAGGTTTGAGATGGGAAGTTGCAAGATTTACAGGTTTAATTTGTTCACCTTCACTCTATTGCTTGTTTTGAGTTTTGAACCTTCAGTGTGAGGAAAAACATACCGATTTTTCTGTAAATATGGTTTTACAAGGTTGCATTATTAATGAGTACCAGGACTGAAAACAAATTATTCTTGAAATTTCATGTTTATTTGCATATTGTGCCAAAAGAAAAAAATACTGAATGTCAAACTCCAGAATATTTCTCTTTCAGATTATGGAAGAATAGTGAGTTAATGGGTAAACTCATGTTACTTGCTGGCTGTGTGTCTGTGTGGGCTGTTATGAGCATAAGGAATCACGGCATATCCTGATGCACAATTGGTTTGACAAGTTTTGTCTTTCATTGCTTTAACTGCTCTGCCAGCCCCCACTTCTGCACTTTCCATGGTTTCTGTAGGACTTACAGTTAGTTTAATGCATATGTGATTTGTCATTGCCTGTGTAAGTGACAATACTTGATACTTTTGTCTGCTAGCATCCACTTGACTCTAACATAAGGGAATCCATCAGTTTCTGATGCTGCAGCAGCATACGAGTATAGCAGTGAAAGAGTTAATGGGATTGTTCTTTTCCATTCAGTACAGTGAACATTGTCCATGGCACAGACTAACATACTGTACATTCCTTTATAGATTGTGGAATACAGTTTGCACAGTCGTAAATATACAGCATTCTCCAGAGGACTTGAAAGCAGGCATCCAGTGCAGTGGCTATCCAGAAGTTTTGCAGTAAACAATGTGATATTTGACCCAAACAATGACGATATTATTATTCTTCAAGATGATAATACAATATGCATCATCAATAAGAATAAGGTTTGTTTATATTTTATAGCTCAGTCAGTATAGTGACTAGGCTATGGGCTTTACAGCTGAGTAATCTAGGCTCAGTTCCTAGCTGAAGCAGAGGTTAGTGGGTCTGAGCATCCAATCCAACAGGTGATGGGAGACTTTCCCTAGGGGTAATGTGGCTGGGGTGTGAAGCTGTCTGCTCATCCATCTAGTGCCAGGGTTAAGAATGCAGTCTCCAATATTTCTTTATGGTATGGTTCATAATTAGACTCAGTGAAAACTTGCTATTATCATACCGTCATGAATTTGTAATATAAAATCCTTCTGTCTTCCATATCCTTCCATCCTTTGTGTTTTGTGGTTACTAGGAGATTGTGTGCGATATACTGCATAAGCCAGTGAATGTCCACTCTTCTGTTGCCAGATAACTAACTGCATAGTGTCCCATAAGTCTTGAACCTTGGGGAAATAATTGAGCTTTGACACAGCTGTAATCTTTATGGTGACACAAATGCATGAACATTTTGCCAGTTCAAGAGTGTGGCATGAATTATTTGTGTTATGAGCTCACTGACCCAGTGTGTAGCATGGCATATATAGAACAATCTGTTCAGTATTTTAATTGATAGGTAGTGCCCTGGTGGTAAGTAATGGGTAAAATATGTGAATATATATCCTTAAATATAACGATAATTAAGAATAATTCACTGTTTGGATCTTGCAGCATATTGACTTTCACATGACAGAATGTAAAGTATACAGTTATTTTTATGGAGTTTATTAGAGTCTGTTCTCAGCACAAAGAGAATGCAGTGCATACACAAAGCTGACACAGATAAAAAATGTGCTGTGTACAGTGTGAATGATGACCTTGAAAAACAGAAAGTTGGCCACATGCTAGTTGGAACTGACAAAAAGTTTTTCCTTAGACACTAAACCAAGGTCCAAATCTTATGAAGGAATTAAAGGTTCACACAAAAAATGTGGTCAGATCCTTAAATCAAAAATACTAATACATTAATAAAATGGAGCTTCAGCCAGGACCACGCGAAGTATCATGTGAGTGCAGCTGTCTTAGATATTTTTGTCAGTCATCAAGCATTCCTCTTTGTCTATCCCTGTCTTTCCTGAGCCCTTCTCTGCAGTTTTCTCCTATGTTCTTCCTTCAGTGTGATATTTCCTAACCTGTTTTTCCCAGCTTGACTGTCATCGCCTTTGGCATTTTCCTTTTAGTTTCGTGTTCAGAACTGTATTATGACATGATGGCTGAAAGCCAGAATAGTGGAATAAGAAGAGGCAGCCCTTGCTAGTCAGTGGCAAAGTAAACTCATTTCCACAGCAGTGAATCAGCATGCAACAACAGAGGAACTGTTGGAGGACCAGCAGCAGTCAAGTCAGTGAGTGAGAACTCTGAAGGCTGCCAAATCTCTTAGACAGTAAAATTAAGTCATGAGTCCTGTGGGACCCCGAATCAATACTCACTGTGCTGGTGAGGGCCAGGAGCAATTTAGTAGTCAATCAGTCAAGTTAATCTTGAGATGTATTGTTAGCAGTTGCTATATAGCAATGACTAGTGAACAAACAGAAGGCTCTATGTATGTACTCGTATGTTCCAGGTGTAGTGATCTGTAGTGTGTGATTGTTATAGTTATTTGTAGTTACAAGTTATAAGGGTTTAGTGAACCCAATTATTGATCCAAACTCCATGTTTGTTCACACATGACAATGTTTTGGATTCTGTCTGCCTGTTTTTGTATACATTGTTGAAAATAGCCATGACAGCTTTTCCTTCTGTTTCAAACTTCATGTACTACTGAATTTTCACAGTTCGGGCAGTTTCCCAATAGGGCTGTAAGAAATGCAATTTGTTATGTCCCCATCAACAACAATTGTCTGTGTATTTTAGGAAATCACTATGAAACGTATGTTTATGCATTTTATGGAAGTTAGTTTTGATATTTGATTGACTGAGTTAATCGGCACTAAGTGAACTTTACAGTGCCAGTATCGGTAAGATCTGTGGTGCCAACTTCAGTGATGACAAGTCCACAGTATCTGACATACTTTCATGCTGTACCATTACATGCAGTTATTCTGCAGAGGTAGACATGATATAGTATGTCAGTGGGAGACTGCACATTGCTGTTGACCAGGTAGAACTTCCTCTTTATATTTCGAAGGTCTTGGTTTCAAATCTCAGTCTGGAGACTGGCTTTCCTCACACCCTGCAGAGCAACTTCCAGGATAGTATGAGGAGTTGGGAAGTGATTGCTTCCTTCTTACTCCTTGCCAATTCATTGTTCCCTAGCTCTTCCACCATTTGATGCCATATAGTCTGAACTAGCATTTGGAAATAATCTGCAGTTGAATAAATAAATGACTTGTCGTCCATGATATATATGTTTCGGCATCAGTGTGCCATCCTCAGGTGTGTTATTTACATTAAACTATTGCAATGCTCGCCATCATGTGTCATTTATGAAATTATTTAAAATGTATATTCTTCATTTACTATAATAAAATTTATATATATTAAAATTTGTTAAGATTTATCATCTTATACTTCTTAATTCAAACTCACATATTGTATGATTATTCCACTATGGGAGTCTTTTTCCTATATTTTGTGTATCCTGTGTCTTGTGATGTGTCCTTTTTTTTGGCTGCGTGCGTTGTAATGATGCCGAAACATATAGTGAAGTGACATGTGAGATTGAGTGCACTAGAAGATGGCCAACACATACATATCATGGATGAGAATCAGTACAACAGGACGCTAAAATACACCATTATAAATGACTTGTCAGTTGTGGTGGAATGTATAAGTATGTGATTCCTAAGTAACTAAAATTCAAGATATTTAGTTCTGAACAGTTCACATAAATTCAGTGGAAGTGTGTGTGTGATCTTCAGAGCTTTGCATTGTAAAGGGCTAGTGATGGGTTTGTATTTGTTGCAGGAACTGCCTTTGGCTGAAGCCAAGATTCCCAGAATTGATTCTCCACAGTTATTTTCAGATAGTCTGGACAGCAGTCAGGGTCATCCTCGAACAGCTGCTCCTCAGCATGCCTTCCATGTTATAAAGAAATACAAGGTGGGGCATACTGCATTGCATGCTGTCTATTGTTGCTAGGTGCCACTTCTCTCTACAGTACATAACCACTGTAATGTAACTGTTGCAGCATCTTGTACACTTGGATTGGCTGAGTGACACTGAACTGACTGCGGTTGAAGTGAGTCCACTTGCTCTTGCCGAGAAACTTCCACCTTCGCTTAAAAAGAAAAGGTTTGGTGTCATGTAAGGTGGCAGAAGGATGAAGCAAGATCAATGCATTAGAACCTTTAAAATATTCATTTTATTTCCATAAATTAGAATATTAATACTTTGATAAGTGAAATATTTATTTGTACAGCATGTCATATAACGTTCTGAAATTCTCTGTCATTGTAAACACCTGCATCCTTCATATAAGAAGAATTTATACAGTCTGTAGAAAATATTTGTTCTAATGGCTACACATGCTCAAAAAATGGTTGAAATAAATTACAGTTCTCAAGTCCATCTCATAAGTCCTTTTCATACATATCATAATGTGACAACTGAAGTTTAAACAAGGTGAATGTAAATATGGTGATACCCTGAAATCACACTTAAAATTTTTTTTGAGCAGCAAATGTGAACACTAGGTTGAGGATTCCTGCACGTGACACTTCCTGAGAGGCCCACGTAGTATGTAGGTGCCATTGACCAGCAAGCCAGCTGATTTTTCCAGGTGGAAACACTTGAGGAGTAGGGATTCCAAATCTTTATTCTTTGCGATCCACATTTATTTCGATGTCACTGGTCTTTTGTCACATAGAAAATTGAAAAAAAAAATTTTATTGATTTGAGGTTCTGACAGCGATGACACCTTCCATGGTGTAACATTTTACAGTTTGGTAGGTGTTCACTGACATTTTGGAGCAATGTATCACATTTTCAGTTCTGTTTTGAGGTACATCAGGTTACGCTTGAAGTTTCTCTGTATATGAGTGTAAGAAAAAATGGCATTCACATATACGTAGGTGAGTCAAATGAAAACCATAAAACATAAAAATTCTAAATATCATGCCATTGCCCTATAAGTTGACAGACATGTTACCAATGCTATAAAGAGTATCCTATAGGTGGCAGTATTATGCAGACAAACAGAACGCCATCACAGTGCCGGTTTGAAGATGGCTGCTCCACTACGTACATGCACGAAAGAAGAACAACGTTCTGTAATACGTTTTTTGATCAATGAAGGCGTGAAACCGATTGAAGTTCATCGACGGACGAAGGTTCAGTATGGTGATGCATGCTTATCACATCAGCAAGTGTATGAGTGGAGTAGGAAATTCAGAAATGGTGTGACGTCTGTGGCAAACGCTCCTCGCCAGGGTCAGGTGCACAGAGTTGTGACCCCTGAGTCTATTGCAGCAGTTGAAACCATAGTGATGGAGAATCACCGAGTGTCGGTGGATGAAACAGCCAAAATTCTTAACATGAGTCACAGATCAGCACACAATGTCATTCATGATGTGCTCCTGTTTCACAAAGTGTCTGCAAGGTGGGTGCTACAGCAGCTGACTCCAGAATTGAAACGACGTGTTGACGCCTGTGAAGAACTTTTGCAGTGTCTTGAAGCAGAAGGTGATGGCTTCCTTTCAAGAATTGTTACTGGCAGTGAAACTTGGGTGCACTACCATCAACCAGAAACAAAGAGAACAAGCAAGGAATGGTATCATTCCTCATCACCAAAACCCAAGAAGTTCCGGACGCAGCCATCTGCAGGGAAGATTATGCTGACTCTCTTTTCGGGATGAACGAGGCATACTCTTGGAGCACTACACACCTCAGGGGAACACTATCACCAGTGCCTCATATTCAGATCTCTTGAAGAATCATCTTCAACCTGCAGTCAGATCAAAGCGATGTGGACTTTTGACTAGAGGTGTTCTTTTGCAACATGGCAATGCTCAGCCCCGCCCCATACTGCCTATGCAGCAATCCAAGACTTACACTTTGAGTGTCTTCCACATCCGCCATACTCACCAGACCTAGCCCCAAGTGATTACCACATGTTTGGGCCACTCAAAGAGGTGATGGGAGGAAAGAAGTTCCTTTCTGATGAAGAGATACAGCAAGCAGTGCATGAGTGGTTGCGCAGACAACCACAAGAATTTTTTTCTAGAGGAATCCATACACTTTGTAAACGCTGGAGGGCCTGTATTGAGTGAAATGGAGACTATGTAGAAAAATATATAGTTGTGTACTGCTTTCATTCAATAAATTAAATTTAAAATTTTTTTTACGGTTTTCATATGACTCACCCTCATACATGGGCAGCCGATCAATTTACAGAGTCATTAGTGGCGCACAGTAAACATGATGTGCCACGATATTTCTTTCTGTATATGCATTGTAAAGCAAGCAGTTACAACCAGTCAGATCCCCAGTATAGTGCAATAATTTTTGCAAAGGTGCCAGAGTGGCTCAGACAGCTGACTCCTATATGTTAGCTAGAAATGTGGTCAATACAGTACTCTAGTGTCATTTATTTCTTGTATAATTCGCATGAGTCACTTTTCCCACATCCTTTCAAACTAACAAGCTACACAAAGGTCTTGAGAAGCCAATAGTCATTCAGCCACTCAAGAAATTCCCCACACCTTACAGAAACTGAAGGTTCATTACTGTGTTCACAAAAGCCTGTTACCATATTAAGCGGGTCCTAGTAACAGCAGCATGGCTCAACATTCGGATGGTGGAGATGGTCTCTTAGGAAGGTGGTTATGAATGTAATGAATCAGCAGTTACAGACAGCTGACAAGTGGTGATAATAGGGCAGGGAACAAATGACTCTTGACTAAAATTCCAGCATGTCAGAAGTGACTTTAATAGACTGCTTTGAGGTCACTGGATAATGTGAGGGAAAGTACAGAAAATTGGTGATTACAGAGTTTCTGAGTGTAAGAGAAATTTCCACAGTAACTAACAAGGTTTTGGACCTGGAATGAAATTGCTGTGGTTCTAGTCTCCATGTTAAGACACCCTGGGTTGCAAACAGTGAAAATGGTTACATGCTCAGCTGGGATTCTGTAGTCCTAATCCCTCTTCCACTCACAAAGGATTAGTTCATGTTTCCCATCTAGGCTTACATACACCTCCCCTGCAGGCAGTCCTGTCAGGAAACCCATGAACTTTTCACCCCATGCAGCAGTGGCTCATCCTATATATTCATATTTATTCCCAATGAATCGGGAACAGAATATTGCAGCTGAGCTGCAGGTGTCACAAGAAGCCTAGAGAAGCTATGAAATGAGAGCCTTTCAAAATATTGCACACAGATGGTACCAGAAGCCACTTTGAGCAATTGCAATTGTGCATGCCAGTATGCTTGTGGTTAGGGTGGCCAGAGGTGTCTACTGTGTTGTTATTATCCATTAAATGTACAGCATTGAAGTGGTCTCTGGTGGCATATGTATACCACATTTCAGAAAAATCGGTCAGACTGCATTCAGATCACACAAGCCTATGTTTTTCCTTAAGAAAGTAAAGTAGCTCAAAGGCGTCTCAAGAGAGGCATTACAAAATCAATACAGTATGAAAATATTTGTTTACTTTGGACACAAATTACGTTTAGAGAAAAGAACATCTAAGAGCAGAATTATTTTAGATAATAAAAATACTTGAATGAGAGAAAATTTGGTTACTTGGGTTACAGTATAGGCCATGAGAGAGCGATGTTAACATGACAATAAATATGTCTCAGCAGTTCTGTGGAATTATGAAGTGCACCAATACTAGAGTATGCCAGAAGCAAGCTTCCCTAGAACATTAGTGAGTGATATTCCTAGCTGTATTGTGCATGGATCTGTGTGTTGGATGTTAACAGAAGAATGAAGGAGAAAATCAGAGATGTCAGAAGGGTCACAGGCTGCACAGATCATGAATGTAAAGACTGTATCAGAGCAAGACTGTGAGTAACCAATACAGATACAATGACAGAAACTATGAAAAGAAAGGCAAGAATATCAGAAAAGAATGCCTGAAAACTTAAAATACGAGGGTCATACTGACAGTTATGAGCAACAATTTTTTGTAAAGTAACATGCTTTATTATTGACAAACCAAATACACCACCTCAATCTAGAGACCTTTCTTTATTTTTCCACATAACCGCCACTTGTTTGTACACATTTCTCCCAGCGTTCTGGGAGTTTTGAAAATTCCCTTCCAGCCATCCGAAGACACTGACACACTGTTTTCTGAATTGCCTCCCTTGTCTAAAAACATTGTCCACGCAGCTGATCCTTCACATTTCCGAAAAGATGGTAGTTGGAGGGTGCCAGATCGGGGCTATAGGAGGGGTGTGGAAGAACTTCCCACCACATCTTTGCAATTGTTTCCAATGTGAGGCGAGCGGGGTGGGGGTGAGCGTTGTCATACAGGATGATGATGTTTCATCCGGGACGTTTATCGCGCAATGCACAAAGGAGCTTGTGCAGCGTCTGGACATAAGGAGCAGCATTGACGGTTTGCCCAGGTTCCAGGAATTCAGCCAGAATAAACCCCCCTGCATCCCAGAAGACTGTGCCCATCACCTTCGCAGCTTGTGGCACTGTCTTTGCCTTCTTTTTTGATGGAGAATGCAAATGGTGCCATTCCATACTCTGCTGTTTTGTTTCAGGCTCGAAATGGTGAAACCAGCTTTTGTCACCTGTCACAATACAGACCAAAAAATCATTGCCTTCGTGTCGATATCTCTGCAGCAGTTCTGAGGTGATGGCTTTTCACTGACCTTTGTGGTCTTTCGTCAATAAACGCGGGACCCAACGAGCACAAACTTTCCTATAGCCCAAGCTTTCAATCATCTCCTGTACTGCACTGTGCCCTATTCCAAGTTTTCAGGCTATTGTGTCCACAGTCACACGCCTGTCATCTTGAATGACCTCATCCACTCTTTCCTTGCTGCGTTCAGTTGAGGCTGTTCGAGGACAACCGCTCCGAGGCTCATTTTCGATGGTGTTCCCATCTTTCACATGTTTCACCCATCTTCGAACACTGCTCGCACCCATGCACACACTTCCATAAGCAGGCTGAAGTCTCTGGTGAATTTCTGCAGCAGGGATTTCCTCTATCACAAGAAATTCGATGACAGCATGCTGGCGAAACAACATATCATTGTCGGCCATTTTGTTAGGAGTGATACTGGTCACATGATGCGTCTTGTAACACAACTGTACACTGTTAAGTCTTATTTCAATTGTCACAGCCATTTTATAGCATTCCAAACATCCAAGTTTGAAACAGGAGTTACTGACAAAGTGTGTGTACACTGATTAATAGAAGAAAAGGTTCCAGAGCAAATATTATTACAGGGTGATTCATACAGAACTGGCCCGACGAAATGAGCTGTAATATAAAATATACCATACAGATATTAAAATAATTTACACATGTCTTATCTTGGATTGTGTGCCGTGATCAGAGCAGGTGTTGAAAGTGTCTGCTGTTTGCAAGTAGGCATGCCTCCACCCGCGTTTGCATATTCACCATGACTCACTGCAGTGTTTCTTCAGTGATGTTCCTGATTTCAGCCGAAATGTTGTCCTTTAAATCCTGTAACATACGCGGTTTGTTTGCATACACCCTGTCCTTCAGTAAACCCCAGAGAAAAAAATCCGGGCTGGTAAGGTCAGGGGATTTTGGGGGCCACGTCTTTTTAGAGATGACGCGATCGGGGAAGAAGCTCTAAATCAGTTCCATGGACATGTTGGACGTGTGGCACATTGCTGAATCCTGCTGAAAATAACCCTGTGTAAGTTCTACATCATCCAGCTGCTGCATGAAATTGTAAAAAATACGGCAGTATAAGGTGCTGTCCACGATTGTGTTGAAGAAGATCGATCCAATGATTCGTAAACCAGAAATGGCACGCCACACCCACTTTTTGTGGGTGTAGTGGTGATTCAGCAATCTCATGTGAGTTTTCAGATGCCCAGATCCTGGAATTTTGTGTGTTTACATATCCTGATAGGTGGAACCATGCTTCATCACTAAACCAAGTGATATCCAAAATTCTGCGCTTATCATGCACGAATTCCTGAAACCATAAACAGTACCATACCCGTTTATCTTTATCAACATCACCCAATTCCTGAACACTGGTGATCTTGGAGGGATGATGATTCACTTTCTTTGCAGCCCATTGACACGTTGAATAAGAATACCCGGTTTCCTGGCTTAGACATCGTAATGATTTCTTGGGAGACTGCAGTAACCTGTCCCCCACAATTGCAATCTTTTCTTTTGGCATTTCTGGGCGGTTTTTACCACGTTCACTTAAAAGTGTCCCTGTCCTTTCCAATTTCTGAGCCAGGGACTGTATAGTCGATTTCGCTGGCTTCTTGCGAACTCCAAACTTCCTCCTGAATTCCAATTGCGTGTTCACAATCGAGCCTGTCACCCAGTATGTGTGCACAAGAAACACTCGCTGTTCAACAGTGTATTCCATGACTGTCGCCTGCGCACTGCAGACATGTTTTGGGATTGTCCTTGACCTTGCAGCATAAGGGCTTCCACTTGCTGGATCATGCACACACCATTTGACCCAGCACAGCCCACGGATTATTATGTCGTAATTGTGAGCAGTTATAGGCATCACCTGTGAATTTTTAGCAAATTCATCGGGCCGGTTCTATATGATTCACCCTGTATAAACCAAGTGAAAATACCTCATATTCAAGCTTAGATCTAACTAGGTTAAAAATACAATAAAATACATACAATATATATATATATATATATATATATATATATATATTGTGACGTGTTGCGCAATG